AATTTTTTAACAACAAAACGGAATAAACAACAATATGTCTTTTTTTCATTAAATATATATGTCAATATAGCATTGCGATTGCAAAATTGATCGATATAATAAGAACATCTATATATAAAACAACATCACCTTATATTACGCACAAAAAAATAAATTAATCTTAGCCAAGGTCAAGTACCTAGACTACTTAGAATTAATAATTAAATATATCGGGTTTCACACAAGAACTGACGAGAGCAGTTAAAATATCTGGAACTTGCAAAGTTATCTTTGGACGAAATAATCGGATTATACACTAATGCCACAGAAAACCCTCAATAAGTAGACGACCTAAGCCCCTGCTTATTTTGTTTTGTTTTCAGTTTACCACTCTAGTTGTACAACGTACCTGAATCTTACCAGTTAGTTCATGGATGAAAACTCCTAGACTCAACATAAGTTAATTTCTTACTCTCACATCGATCTTTTTATTATTCATACGCATTCATTATCATAACCGATTTATTTATTTTATCAAAATCTATTAAAATATGGCGAAGGTTGTTAGTAACTCCTTGTTGATATAATATAAATATATTACATTATTTTATCTATTTTCATGTTTTAACTACGTCTGTGTATATTTTGTTCTTCTGTATTCTCTCTTATATTTCAAATATGAATGTTATAAATTTCTCAAATTCTAACCTAATTCTTGGGCATGAAATCCACGTAAGCGGCGTCTTTATACGAATGATGGCGCTAAACCTTTCCGAAGGTGGTCGTCAAAATTAATATAATATTTAGACAAACAATATTATAATGTTTAAGAATCAGCTGTCTGTAGTATTCTTGAAGTGACTACAGCGTGATGCGCACGAGTTGATTGTGGCAATAACTGATAACAATACAGCTATACAAATAGTGGTGTATTTAATTACTCAATAAAAAGGTAAGTGGAAAACCTGCTGTTCAAATTTAAATAATAATTAAGTGGTATTAAAGATTCGATTCGTGAATTCTTCTGTATCTCTTCACAAACAAACTTTTAGCAACACAAAAGCGCCGTTGACGTAAGTTCCTAAAAAAATGTACATACGAGTTTATCGATAAAGTCAATTTAAAAACTACTTTAATTTACCAAACGTCAAAAATATTACTTTACCTAAAATAACCGTTCACTGTTTATAAAAGCAATAAATAAATTTTGCTTGTAGAATTTGACAGTTTCGTTAAGGCGTCTGGAGGCTTAGTTGAAAGCAATCGCCCCAAAGCTGTCTAATCTTGCCCAGGAATCAACTGAGACGTGATTTTTTTTTTCAAGTATAGTTTGTAAGATATCGATATTTTTGAAGCAGCACAACATCGTAGATTACCCCTGCAAAACCACCTGATCTCATTTTGCAACCTTAAAATAGATTGGAGAAATTTGACAGTTTTGTATATACATGATGTGATGTTGACTGTGCTTAGCTGTACCGATGATATTTTGTGTTAATTATTTAGTTTTTTTTTTAACCTTAATTAAATAATTTTTAAAAAGTTATCTTTTTTACTTGAACTAAAAGTAATTAGAGATTAGTCTAATGCGAACCATGCTCTGTAACTAAACAACATTTATAGGTTTCTTTTTAGTAATTGTTTAAGATACGATAAGCATAATCAAAATAACTGAAAAAATATAAGTTGCCTACTTTTCTTTTCAGCTTCTTATAAGGTTGCTGGGTACAAATTTGTTATCAGTGCACATATTTTGTCTATCCTTTAGTATCCTAATGATAGCATATTTACGAAGATTTCTTATTTTTAATATTAAAATTTATAATTCAATATTAATTTTATGTTTATTATGATAACAATAAATAAAGTATACGTATATTAATAGAAACAACCAAGCAAAATAGATATCCCAGAAGTTGCATCGTGTTTGCGGGTATCTTTTTTAATTTTTATTTACGATATTAGAAAGTGAAAATCGATTTGAGAGTAAAACGAGACTATTCTCATTACTCTATAGTAACAGTAAAGTTTTTTTTTATTTCGCCCACTGATTATATTACTCTGATTATAAAGGTAACATCCTACATGTCACACACGCCTCGCTACGTAGTTGTCTCACTAAACCATAAAAAATAGCAACAAGGTCTGGATAATTAAAATGGCGTCATTTATTTTAAACAGCTGATTTATTTCAGTACACCATTTTGATACCACAATGTAAAAAATTATGCTATAAAACATTGTGGACGGCGGTTCAAACTCTAAATCTCCTGACGGCATGATTCCAGATTTAACTGCTTTTGATTCATTGCAATTTAAGTCACAAATATAGTAGGTACGTTAATTCCCAGGACCCGAAGTCCAACATTGTTACAAGCTTAAGGCGGAACGCTGCATTTTCATTCGTTACGACTGGTGATAGACTAGAAAATTATTCAGTAATTCAGTTGAAAATCAGGTCACATATATTAAGGAAAAATCAATACTAACATTACATAGTGGTAAAATTTCTAACTTTATTTGTAAGGTAATCTTTGGAAATAAATTAATTATTTACGCGGTTGAAATCATTGACAAACAGTCAATTAGAATATACATCAATGAGTGATTAGAAAATCTTTTTTATAGGAGTTATTTAAATATTTTTGAAAGTTGACTATAAAAATAACGAGTGATAGACGAATAGTCGGAAAACTGCTTGGCTATTTGATATCTAATTATTCGACTAGTCGACAATACGATTCTAACAAAAATCACAATCAAAAGTATTTATATTTTTAAAAATTATCAATCCTAGAACTTTCATTTAATAGCTTATTACCTACTGTCATCACTTTCACCCCGAGAAGAATTAGAGTTATTTGGCAAGCACAAAATAATATTAATGAAGTAGGTAAACACAATATCTGTTATAATATAATGAATAATTTCCGGAATATTACAATATAATCTCTGTTTTTATTAATGACCAGTGAGCGAAATAACATCCGATCAGCCCTGCGATTCTGTAAAACTCCAAACCCGAATTCGAATTCTCTCAGGTGTCCGAATTGACTTCAAAAAGAGGCATAAGCTTGCAACCTTGAATTGGTAATAACGTTTCGTAGCATAAGTGAAGTGAGTTTCGAAATGATATAGGAATAGAATATCTGAGACACGTGTATTCAATCAATTTTTTTTTGTATTTTTATACAATAGAATTTTTACACAAAATGACGTGAATTCGGACACATGAGTGAATTCGAATTCGGGTCTGGATTTTTACAGAATCGCAGGGCTGGAATAGCATCATCATTATAATTACCACGTAGTAATAAGTCAGATGACCCGGTTACGGCCACTGCCCCCTTTTTGGCTATTTGGTTTTGCGAAGTTTTCATATGACTTTACCATGAAAGGTTTATCAAACGTTGCGACTCATTAGTTCGACCTTGAACCTTGCCAGCGATTCTGTGTTCTTAAAATGGCCAACACCGCGTCGTCTAATTTATTGCGTTACATCAAGAGGACGCTGATAATATGAATTAAAACTAAAAATAATATTTGGCCAAAGAGATATGTGACCTTGTTGAGGAGCTCGATAGAGTGGTTAGCGCGTTCGGTCTGCGATGAGTAAACAAAGCAACTTTGGCAAGGGCAGGTCATAGGATGGGCAACCAAGTACAATATTTAATATCTCGAGTCCTCCATGCTTTCGGAGGGCACGTTTAATCTTAGTTCCTGGTTGCATATGCAGCCGTTAATACCTACCAAATTTGCATTAAGCCCGCATTTTCGATTCCGTCCATATGGAACATTTTTAGTCGTTAGTAAATTACTAACCGTGACATTTGAATTGTCACGGGATCAGATAAATTACTAATAATATAAAAAAATATTTTCACCAAAAGACCAACACCCATTTTCTGTAAGAACGAAATTAATATTAACGATATAGCTACAACAATGAAAACATGGAAAGCCACAGTATACTATTTTATCCTATTCATGACCAGTGAGCATAAAGCAGCACACCACATCTTTTGTTTTTTATAATAGCCTCATTTCGTTGAAAGAGGCAGCGCTGCGTAAGCTTTGGGCGGTGTAGGCCGCCGCCCACGGACTCACTGTGCAATAGAACTCGCGCCTCAAAGCCGACATAAGTGTATGGATTCAATAAATATCATTCTAACATGAATGATGACGCGGTAAATAAAGAAACCTATTTAGTCCATCAGGCAGATACATAGAAAAATATTAGATACTTATTTTCTTATGCTTCAATTAAACAAGAAATGGCTTAGATAATAGGCATTAACTTTAAGAAGCGGGGACTTCACAACTAAGTAGAAAACGTACAAAGGTGTAAAAGGTGTGTACGTTATGCGACATTTCACTCAATGTATGTAATTCATTGATTATGTGTTTAATATTCTTCAATAATCTACCTGACGGAGAGACAGTTAAAAGTTAGTCATAATCCCTATAGAAATTATAATCTTAAATGATATGACATATAGAGTATATCATTTAGTTTAAACCAATGATAGATGAAGGATGTGAAGAGAGAAAAATGTGAGCATACGAGACATAATCGGCACGGTTTACTAAAAATTATTCGTTGCATCACGCAAATTAAAATATTTAAAAAGATATCGGATTAGGAAACAAAAAATGTATTAAATATTATACTAAAAATATTGTTTTATTTTATTTAATCATAGCAGCATGGATATCAAATTAAAGGCTTTGTCTGCTTGGGAAATAGAAAAAGACCAAAGCCTCACCATACCCAGCCGTTCTGGACTCCAATACACCCACGACTTTGCCTGCGTGGTGATAAGGGAACACGACATAATGTATCTTTTTGTAGAAACAGGATATATTTCACAGTAAAAACCTTATATAACAACCTCCTAACTCAAAAAATACATTTTACCATCCATAATATTAGTCTAAGAGTACTGACAACCATGAATAGCATAGATGACATTCGATTATTACAAAAAAAAGAATCTTACAGTAACTTTCTTTTGTTTCAGACGATCCTAAGTCCGGCTGCATTAATTGTGGCAATGAACAGGTGACAAACAAAGAAAACAGAACAAAGGAGTTGAAAAATTAAACCTTACGGCGACTAAAATTCAAAGATGGAGGAACAGAAACAGCCTGCCTCACCGATACGTGATGTCGCTGATGCATACAGCTCTAAGTCAGTCAATATGAACTTCCTACTCTACATCTTAATGCTAATATTAATGCTATTAGGTATTCGTATTGAACATGAACGACATGTGACGTTAGAGTTCTGATATTTGGCTGTGTACTGGTGTAGGGAGTTTCACGGGATCCAGTGCCAATCACGTGGAATAACATTAATAGAAAACTAATTATCAGGCTTATAACGTACCTATTTTTTTTCATTTGATGAATACTGCGACAAAGTTCGATATGCATCCAAAGACTATGTCAAGTAACGGCCCGTTGCACAAACGTCCATTAATACTTTCATTAGTTCCAAACGCCATTACCCTTACAAATTTGAAATTCATTAGAGCTTAAAGGCGTCATTAAACCTTAATGGACGTTTATGCAACTGACCGTTAATCTGATATTATATCAAAATGATATTTTAGACTATGTTGATGGAAGTTACATCAATCGTAGGAGAAAAAGAAAAAATCCAACCTGTTGTTTCGGAGCGTATTCAATGCAAACAAAAAGACACTCAAATGTTTTCCCTATTTAATAAATATAAATATTGGACAACCACACATACATTGCTCAGATTTCAAGATTATTAGCCAAAGCCCCTGTGGAATATGTGAGATATCGGAGGTGCCACAAAACCCTGACCCACGACAATATAGAAATTCCATTTTCAACATTAACTCGATCGGGAATCGAACCCGGGACCTCAGAGATGGCGCCGCCTTGAAACCGGCGTGCGAACCACTCGACTTCGGAGGTGAGAGTAAGGAGGGAGATGAGAAGATATATATAAGGAACACTAGCCGGTATACATGTCTGTCTCTTGCTTTATAATATTCTTGGAAAAATTAAAATCGTGCTTAGGTACAGAAAAATACAAATAATAATTGATGATAGAATAATACGACGATAGATATATCGATAAATCGAATATAAATTTAAAATTATAAAACGTAGCAGCATTTTAGAGGAAGGCCTGTGCAAAGGCTCATCTTAATTAAAAGCCGTTAAAAGCATTCTTGATTAAAACAGATATTGATATAGATGTCATTCCAGCTTCGTTATACATCTGGCTGTGGATATTCAATGTTAATCTATGTTTAGTAAGGTTCTTTTGAAAAAAAAAAATGGTTAATTATATTTTATCAAATTTACATTCACAATACTATACCGATATAATGTTATAGTTACTTTAAATATAAATATGTCCATATAATTTCACAGTAAGTACACTGTGATAGAACTTGCTACCCGAATAAGTATAATCCCAGCTCAAGAAACGGTTTAAAAGGCAAAGGCTAATGCAATTTATTGTAAAGTCAATATTACGACGTTCGTTTCTTGAAAGCCGGTTAATAGAAAACGGAAATCAGAGAAATTCATCGTTCAATTTACTTAATTTTCGACTCCCTTGCTAAACTAATAACAGCGCTAATAATATTGATTTTGTTTCTGGAAGTCCCTATAGTCATTATAATAGTTATTTAAGATACGAGTGCGGAAAGTAAGGTTTTACGAATAAGGGCCAAATTGAAAACACGAGCGTAGCGAGGGTTTTCATTGGCACGAATTCGAAAAACTTTTCACGTTCAAGTTTCTTACAACATTTTTCAATGCTTTTTGCGAGGAAATAAAACAAATATGTAGGTTAATAAAACTAAGTATGTATTAAAGGTAAAAATTATTTGTTAAAATTAAACGTGATATTTGAACATGTTTTCGTGTCATACATTTTAATTGTTAATATTCGTTCTAGGCTTCTTGAAATACTTTTGCCTCTAAAGTTTGACATATTTTCATAATTTTTTTTTAAATTTCTTTGGTGCTCGGCCAAAAAAAAATACTTTTAAGCACGTGTGCAGTAAAGGATTTCAGTACATTTTTATTTAACACGTGTTTAAAGACTTACTTTCGGTGTTTACAATGGATTAAAAAAATAGCGCTTATGGTCAACTGCACTGAAAAAATATAAAAAAATTAGAAGGCATTAAGCAGATTTTTTTTATAGGTAAGCAAAATCCATTGACATTCTTACAACTATGTCAAACGTTTAATATAAGTTTTAAGAGGCTATAGTGAATGATAAGAGATAATAATAACACTAAGTTAAATATTTAAATACGAATTCTTGTACACATGATGACACGATATAAATGCCGTTCGGATTTACTAAATCCTTTATAAACTTAATCAAACATTTTAATAACCATTATAAGATAAGTTATAGATATTTCTTTTACTTTAAGGATTACTCTTAAAGTTTTAAATAAACAAAATATATAAATATCTTTTTGGACACGAGTATAAAAATAACATTTCTAAAAATAAAAAAAATGTTATTATTTAAGCAAATTCAAAGCATATAATATATGGATACTTTGTTAATAATCATTATTCACTTGCATCTTGTATGGGTTAGCCTATGGGTTATCATGAATGGGTTAGCTACGTATTCACAGAAACAAGACAAAAGTTTGTTTGTAATTATACCAAATTGAATAATACCTCGTTTAAAAGAAAAACAATATTTAATAAATTAACGATTTTCGTGTTACTTGTAGGGTATATTTAATATTATTTATTAGGGTATTCCTGCACTAAGCGTTTTGCTAGAATAATGTCAAAGGTCTGGTTAACCGCAGAAAAATTATGTAAATTGGAAAAATATTTTGATATAGTAAAAAAACTTATCTTCCTGCTTATAAAACCCTCGACAGATATTTCTCAATGATTACAGTATATCTACTTAATTATGAAATATTAATCTTAAGTTTGGTAATGAAAATACATCCATCTAAATATATTATAATAACTGTCTATATTGAAAATAGATCGACCATTTCAGTACTGCATTTTCCGCCACAATGCAACCGCGTCCTACATTATATCAGTCAGTACATAATTACCGGTATGGAGTTTAATAAAAAAATCACGTGCGAGCATTTTTACTATACATATCTGTTTTACTCAGTTATCATGAAATAATCTTGTTAATAAATGAACTTAATCTACGAACCATTTATGTAAAATTAACCATACTTATTTACAAACCATTTATGTGTGTTTGTAATACGTAAACATTTTTAAATCAAATACTGAGAGTAGACAATATAAAACATAATAGTTATTTGCTCTCGCATACATGTGTAAGATCTCCGTTTTGACCTCGAGTCATACTTTATAGTCCAATTTTATAACTGCAAACTAACACATGGATACTCGTAGTAATGAAAACTAATTTGATTATTTGGGTAAATTATATGTTATTTATTAATATCTCACCTTAAAAATATTTTAATATCCAATATTTCTAATGAATATTATTTTAATGTCTTCCTTTCATACCTTGTTTCTATATAAGTATACACAAGATTATCTTATCGGATGAGAATTTTATTAGAACACGCTCCCACCATTAAAGCTGTATCGTGATGCTAATAAAATGTCAACTGCAGGGTATGCCATCGATAGGCTGTCGTTAGCTACATGGAAAAATATAACACATATATTTAATTACTAATTTGTGCCGGCGACTTCGTTTTTGAGAAGTTTTAATCATTTTCAGTCATTCAAAGCAGATGGGGTATTGCAATTAAGTTTGGTATAACTTATATTGTGTGTTATGGACGAAAGAAAAAATATATAAATATTGCTGACCCTCGAGAAAGTAACATAAGTTGGCCATTAGAAAAATAGTCAGTTCTCAAGTGAATCAGAATTTAAGCGTTTGTAGCGCTATTCGTCTGGCTCTTATAAATGTACTTCGGCAATGTCTATCTCTAAATTGTACTACTTTTATCACCGATCTCTAGAGTTACGTTGAGAACACAGGCGTGATTCTATTTGTGTGTATAGCGATCGAATTGTTTTTGTGGAATCGGCCCTCTAGTGCAGACTATAAGCTACGACATTACTGATACAGTTAGGATTGGGTAGGGTTGTTATACATGGACAAGTTGCTAGATCTCGCGAACACAAAACAAACTTAACCTCTTCGCATTCGTATTCAATTCTTATGAAATGGTACGTAAAGATAATTATTTTGACTTGCCCAGAAAAATCTTTCCACTGTTATGAAAACGTAAATGTATAATATTGCTCGTTCTAGGGTTATAAAATAAATAAACATAAGACAATATCACATAAATTGCTCAGATTCTTAGATGGTACTTGAAGGTATTGATTTTGTGTTACAATAAAAAATAAATAAGTATATTAGAAACTATGCTAAAACTAGATTTATGCAAATATACCTGCAGCTCTCATTATGTTTAAGTCCGTTAAAGGATACTACAAAAATATCTATAAAATAATCAGCATATAAATTGTTTTGTGTTCAATATATCCAATCATCGTCCGATAAGACAGTTGCTAACTTCAGAAATCGTGGACAGGATACGTTGACCGCTATACCATCGACCTCTTCATAGTGAAATAGTAAAAGTACTTTAATTAAATACTTGTACATCATAATGAAACCGCTAAAATTAAAAATGTTGAATTCAATGAAGAAATTAGCAAGTTATTATTACAAAAGTATTTACCTAAGTCTTGTAGAAACATTTTCTTCAAAATTTAGGTCATGATAAAAACATAATTAAAATATATATTAACAGTACAGACTTCGTAGGATTTATATTTAATTTCAGAATAGTTTTCTTGTTTGCGTTAATTATGATTAAATATAAAATGGGTACAAATATTTTCATTTCCTGAATTCAATGAACTAAGATTTAATTAACTGTAATAGTCGCCTGGATTGCAAAATGTCATGGGTTCGAGTCCCATCTCAGAGTGCCAAGGACAAAGGGGATTTTTAAGCATTTTTCATTAGAATAATTTTCAGTGTAGTATTGTGAATGAACAAATGACTAAAATAATAGTAACTCGGTGGGTTAGTGGATAAGGCCGCTATTATTGTTATTAAGCAGCATTTACAAGGGTCGGCCACGTGATTGGTGACCAAAAAAATATATTTCGAGCTTCTCCGTGCTTTGGAAG